AGTGGCACTTTTAGAGGCCCAGTAGTTGTAGGTTAGGTCTAGGCAGATATCAGTCCGACTAGTCTGGGTCTAGGGCCTGTACAGGCAATATCAGAGTCTGCAGTGATGTTTCCCTCCGAAAGGGAGGAGGTACCGGTTGTTTGGGAGGCCGAGCGGCCTGGAAGTCACCGCCCAAGAGGCAAAGCAGGCCACTATATCTTCTGGCCGGGCGGAGAGTCCGGCCTCTTTTTCGGTGTGCAAGTTTGGCGACACACTGGTGGAGCGCTGGCTGGAGCAGCGCTGCTGAGGAGGAAGGAGAAGGACATGAGGGAGGAAGGAGGAGGAAGAAGGAAGGAAGGGGAAGGAGCGCCAGGGGTACTTACCTGGCTATGGTGGCAGCCATCTTCATCACCTTGGTGGGCGCTGCAGCAGGGAGTCCCCAGCTGGGGAGAGCTACACCAAGAAGCTAAGGACAACCCAAAGCAGCTACACCAAGTCCCCAGCACAGTGAAACCATTCATTTTTCTCATTCTTTTGTTGACTCCTCTTTCACCATGCCTCTCACATACAAGGCTCACCACGTTGATGAAGTTCAGCGCGAGCTGCCCCCATCCCCGTGTGCCATAACAGCCCACTTGTACACTATAAGAAAGAGGCAGAGTGAAGGGGGAGGGGATAAACACAGGGAAGAGAGAGGGAGAGCAGACAAACAAAGAACGATAGAGGGAAAGTAAGGGAAAGTATAGAGTGTGGAGTGAAGATGAAGGCAAAAGAGGATAAGAAAAGACTCAAGAATGAGTCTGTCCTTGACGACAGAGAGGACATACTTTGTAAGGATGACGTGGATGAACACATGGAAGACCTAGCTGAGCATTCTCAGTGCAACAATTGCCACGACGGGTGGGATTGAGCATGCCCATCATACACCCCCGACAAATGGCATGTCGACTGCAGGCCAAAATGAAAGAAGAACAGTCACCACAAAAGAGCATGCATTCAGTATAGCGCCCATGGCCCCAAAATGGACATATAGTGTCCGGATGCGGAGGGTGCCTGCAGTCAGGAACAGTGGGACAGTCCTCTGCACACATGGATGCAGAAACCATGTCATTGCAGTGATTGTGACAGAGACAATGGCGGCTACAGCCGAATGTAACAGTGTTTGTGGCTGTGCAAAGGAGAAGATCGCAAAGTGTTGGTACATTGTCTTGCTGCAGCTCGGGGCCAGAGGAATGATCTTCAACATAAAAGAGATTGCGGACGGTTTGTTGTGGCAAGAAAACAACATCATTTTGTTTGAAATCAGTGACATCAATCATGGCATGGGCCATGGTGCCGTTGTCCCACAACTCCCAGTGGTCAGAGGCATGTACAATGGCCATGTAATGGCCAGGGCCGTGCACAATGCGGGCAGAGATGTGGGATGGAGGATTAAACCACTCACCTGCTCGAGCATTGCGTAGTTCAAGTTGACGGTCCCTCATTGCTACTTGTAGGACAGCAATGGTAAAGCCTCCTTCGCTGGTATAATTACAATCCTCTGGCTGTCGTTGGGGAAGATCAGCATCAAGCTGAAGGGCGATTGCAAAGAAGTCTGATGGTGTATAAAACGGGTGATGGAGAATGTGAAGACAGATATTAGTTGTTGTCAGACCACAGAGATTGGTGAGGTTCTCAGGCTGGTTTGTTAGATGCTGGCCAACAATTTGCAGATCACCCAGATGGTGTTGCAAGCCCGATCTGTGTTGGGTTGTTTGCTGGTCAGTCATTTGCAGATCACCCATGTGGTCTGCGTGTGGTGGAGCACAAAATTGTGGTTCATCCGAACAATGCTGGTCAGCCATTTGCAGATCCCCCATGTGGTCTACGCCTTGTGGGGTCAACTGCAATCCGGGCAGATCATGTTCCAATCCCTCAACGTTTAGGGCTGCATCCTGAGTAGGGATTGTACCTGGAGTCGGGACTGTACTCTGGCCAGCGGCTGCATCCTGAGTAGGGACTGGTGGCTGCCTGCAGGCAGCTGGACTGTCTGCAGGAGGCATAGGAGCGGATATTGTCGTTTGAAACAAAGGAACCGCAACAACCTGTGGAGGAGGCACAGAGAGAATCGGGGCAGACAAAGAAACAGCTCGCTGATCCCCGGACAAGTGACGATGTCGCGGATGTCGTTCGTGATACACAACAAGAGTAGTAGTGGTGTTGCAAACAGAAGCTGAACTTGTACCTCGCAACGCAGGTGGAACACTGGGAACAATGGAAACTGGAGAGTCTATTTGCAAGCGAGACCGTGGAGGAGATGGGGGTGGTGAGGAGGAACGCAGTCGTCTACGGCCAAGCACAGACAAAGATGAGAGGGGGGTGCATTGGGCAAGACTTTGGAGCGAAGGACATGAGCGTCGGAGAGATGATGTTCTTTGCATTGGAGCTGCAGGACAGGAAGCTGTAGCAGTAAAAACTGAAGTAGGGGGAATTACAGTTAGGGAAACTGCTGTACTGAAAACTGCAGCAGTGGAAACCGCAGCAGTAGAAACTGCAGCAGCGGAAACTGGAGCAGTGGAGACTGGAGCAATGGAAACTGCAGCAGTGGACACTGCAGCAGTAGAAACAGCAACAGTGGACACTGCAGCAGTGAAAATTGCAGGAGTGGAGGCTCCAGCAGTGGAAACTGCAGGAGTGGAAACTGAAGGAGTGGAGACTGCAGGAGTGGAAACTGCAGGAGTGGAGACTGCAGCAGTGGAAACTGCGGTAGCGGCAGGACGAGAGCATCGTGGGGGCGAAGAAGAAATTGGATGAGACAAGGACCATCGCAACATGAGTCGGAACCACTGAGAGAGACGCGTCACATGTGTAGGATAGCGACATTGGCGGAAGCGCATGTAGCAGGTCCACCCCTTAGCAAGGGTTGGTGGGGAATGCCCACACGGAAGCATACGACGAGTAAGTGTTGTTGCCGCAGTTCAAAGGTCCTGCCAATTGTTACAGATTTGTTTAAATCTGGTTTATTGCCCAGTGAACACACCAGCCGGTTGATGGGAAGGGATGTTGGAGGTCGCACTTGGAACGAATGACAGGGAGGTCCCAAGGAGCCGCTTTATCAAAAACGCTCATGCGAAGCGAGCCATCGGAACGTACCCATAGCTGCATACCTAAAAAGGTACAGGAGCCATCTGTAGCTGTAGTCTCCTTCCACTCAAGCCCATAGTGTTCTGGTGGAGGAGGTAATTGTCCCCATGAAAGAACATCATCAATGAGGCGATAGGTGAAGGCATATTGTTGAGCAGCTTGAAGATCATGTTGACGAATGTCATCAACAAAGCGCGCTTCATCCCAATACATACATACATACATACATACATACATACATACATATATACACATATACATACATATACATACATATATATATATATATATATATATATATTCTTTTCTCCTGGATCGTACCCTGAATACACCCGCTCAGTTCAGACTCAGACCTTGGCAGTTATGGCCGCCCTGCTTCCCTTATCACTACCCTAGCTATGGTCGTCGTTGACACTCCCTCCTCCTTCTAGCGTTGCCTTGCCCAAGCTGCGTTAGCGCTTCCCAACTTCACGGATGAACATATGTCGTGCTGCTGCACTGTAGCAGCTAATTATAGAAGTTGGACTTGACTTGGCCGGCTTCAGACAGGTACCCATCAGCCGCGGCCTGTCTGTTGCAATCATTTTGTCGGTCCAGAAGCTTCCCCAACTTTCCTGGGACAGGCTGCAGTTTTTGTGCATTTGGGGACTGGACTGGACTTTCCGGACCTTTCTGGCGGGTACCAGACTGACTATAAGCTGACTCGAATTTTTCGGACATAGGCCCGACTTAGACCTAGGACGCCACTTCTAGCCTACCAGACCATCCCTGCTGGGACTTGGGGTTTAGAGGCTTCCGGAATTTTGGGGTTTCGGTGCCGGACTTTCAGGTGTCTGCAGCGTGAAATCCTTTTTTTCGATAACCGCATTGTGCGCAACTTTCAGTCTAGATACAGCCATAATTTACTGGCCGTTCTGTTCGGATGACGACGGTAGGACTTCCTCGACTTATATCTGGTGGTGACTGCACCCAGATGCATTCAGGAAAAAGGACAAAAAGTACGCCTTTAAGACGTAAACAGCCAGTACCTACTGCGTCCTCCGGCCGTTAACAACGCTCCAGATAGCGTGCGGATGTATGGGCCTGCAGTGCGGATCTGTATTCATTGGAAACGGCAAAAAAAACAAAACAGAAAAAAACAAGCCATGGATAGCTGTACGTACTAGCGTTTCAATCAAAGCAGAGAAAGCAGAAAACAGACACAGCAGGAAGGGAAAAGAGTTGGACATGGCTGCTGTTTCTGTTTTCTTCTGTGTCTGCTTTGATTAAGCCTTAGAGCTCAAAGGCATACGGTTTCCCCTGCACCCAATATAGGTCTGGGGAAGAGCACACGTGATTAACAGCGTGCGTGATTTTCGGCAATTTTTTTGGTGTTTGCAGTATGAGCCCATACTTTCTTGTGTCCAAATGTTTTTCAAATTTCAATACGTTGCTTGCGGTGACGCGGCAAAAACGGCAAATTTTTGGCCCTCCATTAACCATCTCTAAGGCAGAAGGGGAAAGGAAGATACCTAGATTACCAGGACTCAAGCAGCATTTCCTAGATCATCTTCCTCTCTATCTGATGCCCTTTGTTTGCCCTCTATGACATCGTCCTTTTCAACTTGGTTTTCGCGTAAAATGCTCACCTGCCGCATTTGTAAATCAAACAGACAAGCCAACGCACAATTAACCGTCAACCTTTCTCTTGCAATGAGACTCTCTTCTTCTTACTTTGCATACATGCAAACAGATGACAATCCACACTGGCGCTGTGCGCCCACACAAAGCTCAGAGATATTCAAGGCGAGAACACAGTTCAGATACAAACTCGCTTCAACCGGCTATGGCGATTGATCGCCCAACTTCCTTCCCAACATAGTATTCTCGGTCACTGTTCTCACACACACTCACACTCAACTCCGGATCTCCCTGGATACCCCACGCACACACTCTCTGTAGCCAACCACACTCTGACTCGCTAACAGCTAGCTCTACCCTACGGCGGCTATGGCCGCTCACCGCCACTGACTATGGCGCTCTATCTTCCTCACTGCCCACTTCGACCTCGGGCATCTGCAGACCACCTCGCACCAGCCGCTCAGGCAGCGCTTCCGCATGGCTTACACAGGAATGAATGAATGGCTGGACGCTGCCTCTTGATTTATACTTCTGTAAGTCCATGGTCTGCCCTTTTCCACCGGGCCCATGGTGCACACAGTCCCTCATGGTACTTTCTGACTGTACAAAGTGAGACTGGGACTGGGTATCGCTGACTAAGCGAAGTTGGACTCGCCACTTACCCACTTGCCTCTGGTCTGCTGTGTATAACGTGAGAAGAAACTTGAAAGGCCACTTCTGGACCTTCCGGAAGTCTGTGGACTTGGCCTTTCGGGACTGTAGCAGCTACGACCTTGACCTTTCAGGACTGTAGCAGCTACAACCTGGACCTTTCAGAATTGCTACAGCTACGGCCTCTCCACAACTATGACCCCTAGTCGACAGACCTACAGATCAAACCCCTACAGCCACACAGACCTACGACAAGCAACAGTCAACTACCAAAACACAGATCACGGGTTCAAACACACACAGGGGACGACTTGATACTGTACACAGGTAAGGTGTCTGGGATCCGCATCTGTGACTGCAAAAGGTGAAAAACGTTTCACTCTCGTCACATCAAAAGCTCTCTCCATGCCCATCACTGCACCGCCCACTTCCACAAACCAAAGGATTTCATGATACAATCGATTAACACATGCCCACATGGAAAAACAAAAAAGAAAAAAAAAGTCCACCTCACATGCAAAAAAAAAAAGAAAGCATGCCCACATGCAGAAAAGTGCTCACATAAAAGAGATGAACTGAAGAAGAAGCACAAACACCATTCTGATCGTGTCGTGAACTACTCAAATCCCAGCTATCACTTCTGTCGCAGACCTCGTGCGGGAACTGTCACGGGGCAGAAAAGCACTCACACAAAAGAGCTGAACTGAAGAAGAAGCACAAACACCATTCTGATTGTGTCGTGAACTACTCAAATCCCAGCTATCACACAGCACCTCATGCGGGAACTGCCACGGCAACATACACATGCATATTCCAACAGAGGTTGACCAGCTCTCCTCTGGGGCTCTACCACAGTGGACCGCTTCCTCCTACACAAAGCCTGTCCCTACTTTAGATGCTCCCTCCTCCTCCTAGGATCTACTAGACCTCAATAGCCTTTGCAAACCCCTGCACGGAGACCATACCCCTTACAGTCATCCTCACAAGGAACCGTAGATGATGGTGACCCTAGTCGCAGCTCTGAGCATCAGGAGAACAAAAAAAAAAGGCTGGGAGAGTAATGTCACCGCCTAATGGTCAAGACTGATGTCCCAAACACCTATTTGAGAGCATATTCACGCTAGGACTTTTTCTACAAAGCTTTGGACGTGATTGCAGTCAGATTCATTCACATCGGGCCATAATTGCAGTCAGATGCATTTTGGAGAGTGCTAGTGTGAGTATGACCTGAGGCTATTTCTCATGCCCAATGGGACAAAAAACAATATGTACACATGTACTTGAACCGCCAGTACCTTTCTCATACATCGGCCATGGGCCCTGCACGCCAAGTTCGGCCGATGTATCTGGTTGGCGCTGGAGGCTGAATCGGGCCTCCGCGTCAACCACCGCACCTTTGTTTTCCAAGTGTGGAAAGGTACTGGCGGTTTAAACAGGAGCTGTTCCTTAGGTAGTACACTCTTCCGTATCTACAAAAACAGAAGAAGAAAAAAGAATGAAAAAAAGAAATTGCTGCTAGTACAGTTCACAGGCAGGTGCTGCACGGTGCAGTTGCAAGTTGATATACAATAATCAAATCAAATAAATTAATAACTTATAATAAGTCATTATCACCCAGAGAGAGTAGCAGAATAGCGGTGATCTGTAAGCAGGCACAGAATTCCACAGCTCCAAAGAGCCCTCTCCCTTTCGCATAGCCGCTCGCTAAGGGAAGACAGCAGACAGCCAGGAGGAGGAGGGAGCACATATGATAAGGACAACTGAAGTCTGTGCTTTACTGAGGGTGGACCTTCGTCGTGGCTATTGCCTTAAGCAATTCCTCGGTGGCTCCAACAAAAACAGTAACACCTGCATTTGCCTGACAAAGAGCGACTAGATGCCATTCTGGATCAGGAAAGAGAGGCGTTGGATGCAAAAAGAAGGGGGAACACGGAGCCGCTGCCACTCACAGGAGGGTGGTAATATGGCTGGTAGTTGTGATGGAAAACCGATGCGTACAGAGTCGGGTTATAGATCGACCCTCCGAGAACTTCACCACTGTTTCGTGGGCTGTCCTCTGGTGACGTCGTCCGCCGTTGATCAAAGCCGACAGGGCTGTATGACGCTTCCTCATTCTGCGAGCCGATCATCCACATCTTCCACCAGAGAACTGCCGAGACGCACCGCACTAGAAACCCCAGCAGCTCTAACCACCATCCCAATTCTATCGACCACAACGTCCGCTTCCCAAGCTTGATGTCTTCGATCTGCTCCACATTCCTATGGCACACCAGCAGCCATCGGATCGGTTGATAGGGGCAATTCGAGAGCAATCAAGTAATGCAAAGTAATGGCGATCAAATGTTCTAAACTTAGGACCAGCTTGCCTCATCTCTCTTCGGAACACACACAAAGCGCAGAAAGCAAAATGACAAGGGAAGGACAATGCAAGGGGAGAGCCGATTGGCAAACAGAAAGGGAAAAATGACAGAAGACAAGGGTTTGAACTCGAACGTGCGTTGGCAGTTTGCAGTCTCAAGACCTCCTCAGGTTATGCACGGCTCAGCCTTCATATATGCCCCCCATGCTATAATAAGGGCCAAGGATTCAGCGACTCACCGAATGACCCAGGGGCAATCAATGAACGCATAAAACAAGATAAGACAGACCATTGCTTACCAATCGACAACCACAAGGATCATCCCGTAAGGAACGCAGTGCAGAAAATTAGACTACATAGGAACTTCTTCTTTTTTTTTTTTTTTTTGGGACCATTTCTCGATTTATGCGTGGCATCCTTGCGCAGGGGCCATTTTGCTAATTACCCTTCTCTGTATTGTTCCAATTTTAACGAATGTCCCGAAGGACTACATAGGAACTTTCATTTTCAAAAA